CCCCCAAAACCCCAAAACCCCAAAACCCCTTCTGTAACCTATAAATGAAATATATAAATCTTAGTAATAAACATTATGGAAGACAAATCAAAAGAAGCACCTACAGAGAAGATTACAATCCACACCTCATTCACTAATCTCGAAGGGCACTCTCCTTCATCAAAAAGCCCTACAATCCAAGTCCAATGCAGGTATACCCCCCTAATCCCTACAGAACAAGCGAGAATGCTGATGATTGGGAACTATATACATAGAAACAAAGGTTGACCCGAACAGACCTGTAGAAGGGTAAGCTACCTTCCTTCGCTAGTTGAAACCTGTTCTGTTTCATTGACGTTTTGTAGGCCAAAAGGAAAGGAAATTTATCACTGAAAACCTATTGAGTTTAATTACATCTTCCACAAAGACCAGTTGCTCAACTTCATGGTCAACGATGCCGGTAAGCAACAGACTAATCCCTAGAGGGAGAATTCATTGGAGAAATGTACATCAAGCTAGGCAATATTATGATCGGCAAACAGATGAAGAAGAAGGAGATTAAGAACACAGGCGATGTGACAGGGGAGTTGATCGTGAGGGTGAGTGGAGGAAGGGGCTTAGTTTGTTTACTGGGAGATTTTGAGGGTGGGATGGGAGGGGTTTTAGTGCAGTTGGGAGGAGTGGAGGTGGGGTAATGTAGCAGTTAGGTGCTAGAGCTGGATTTGAACGTCTTATAGTGAGAAAAATTTGTGCAGACGAATGATATTGTGAAGTTTGATTGTGTCTGTAAAAACTTGGTTTCGAAGAAATTTCTCTATTTTTGTTCGGTCGATAAGCCATTTTTCCGTATCGAGCGAAGTAATACTCCAGACTCTGAGGAGTATACCAAGATCCACGAGAGTCACTATGTGACACGTAGAAATCCTCGATGGAATAGACAGAAATTTCTTGCTCTGGAGCTGACTCACGAGGAGATTGATAACAAGCTGAAGTTCACTATCCTCTCGCATAAGTAAACTTCTGATTAACTTCAATAGCTCTTCAGGGAAACATACCCCATACGGGTATTTTGTAACAACCCTGTATGAAATAGAGAAAGAAAGACAAGTATTCCACTTAAGAGATGTAAGTTATCAGAATCTTAAGGGCTTCTGAGCCCAAAAATTATCTAATAAAACCATGGGTTTGTCAAGAGGTTTCAAGGGATTTTAAGATATTTTTCATAAAAATTAGGTCAATAGTTGTAGTCTGGCGGTCTTGAATGGAGAATATAGTTCAGATTCTGAGTATATAAGTCGCATAATGCTAAAACTTACTTCTCACTTCAAGAGCCCTTTACTAGCTCAAAATTAACATTTCGCATTTTGTTTATTGCTGATACATTAAAATATAGGTGAAAACAGATGAAGAGATCCCTGAAGCAAAATTTATATTTGAGAAATTCCAGTATATCGAGAGGCCTTGCTTCTACGATTTCTTAAGCTCACAATACTCAATAAACCTGACTGTTGCAATAGATTTTACGATTTCGAACCTAGATCCCAGGAGAGAAGACTCCCTACATTATGTAAGCTAGCGATGTTCTTCAAAATTAGGCTAATCTTGTGTAGATTAACTCAGATGGCACCTTGAATCAGTACCAATCGGTTATGCAAACAGTGGGAAGGATCCTTGAAGCTTACGATGATGACAAGAAAATCCCTGCTTATGGTTTTGGAGCTCTTATACCCAGAAAGCCAACCCCTGATGATGATAGTCCTTATGAGAAAGAAACCTCGCACTGCTTCACTCTAAATGGAGAAGAAATTGCTGACTGTGAAGGAATTGAAGGGCTTCTGGAAGCTTATAAAAACACAGTGGAAAGAGTCAAATTCTTTGGCGAAACCTGTTTTGAGCCATGAATTAGAACATGTGTTGATAAAATAAACAATTCAGTAGTTATTGGAGAAGATGAAAAAGGAGATCCTTATACAGAATACACAATTCTATTGATCATTACCGATGGGCAAATTAACGATATGAAGGCAACAAAAGACTTGATTGTTGAATCTTCAAAGCTGCCTCTGAGTATCATTATTATTGGTGTTGGTGATGAAGACTTTGAGCACATGATTGAGCTTGATTCTGATGACACACTCTTAAGAGATTCCAACAGTAATTATTTCTTTGATTAAAATTAACTTTTTTTCATAGATCATTTCGCCTTCAGAGACATTGTGCAGTTTGTCAAATACCAAGATTTTGAGGAGAAAGGGATGCATGCTATTTCTGAGGAAGTGCTTAAGGAAGTCCCAGACCAAGTGATCAGTTATCTTGGAATCAATAATATTGATCTAGGAAAGAAATAAGAGATTTATTAAATCTGAAAGGTGCTTCAATAGTGTTGAAGTTAATAGGGGTTTTGGGGTTTTGGGGTTTTGGGG